CGTAGATCTGAGGAAGACTCGCTTCGCTACCACTGATAGTTAGGGTTAGGTTGCAATCATTAGTAAACATTAGACACGCACGTTGGATAAGCAGTTGGTAATTTTTTTTCGTTCGGTATTGATCACATCTGTTACGGCTCTGCTGGGGGCTTCGCGAGGGTTGCGAAACTTCCATTTAGATAATACCGATGCGCGTAAGATATCGCTTTCTCTTGACGTGCTTGTGAAAAGCAATAAATTTCTCTGTTCGCTGTTTCACGAAACGCGATAACGATGTACGTAGGCAGAGGAAAAATACGAATTCGTGAATTACTGAAATAGTAAAATGGAAAATTTTAAAAACTAAGTAAGTGAAATGAAATGAAACCTAGCCGAAGAGAATTCCTTGAAAGACCCTTAAAGTATGCTTACTATCAAATATTTTCTATTTATATCAAATTATGTCAAATTTTTACTATCAAATATTTTCTATTTATGTCAAATTATTATTATCAAATATTTTTTATTTATGTCAAATTATGTCAAATTATTGCTATCAAATGTTTTCTATTTATGTCAAATTGTGTCAAATTTTTACTATCAAATATTTTCTATTTATATCAAATTTTTCCTATTAAATATTTTCTGTTTATATTAAATTATGTCAAATTATTGCTATCAAATATTTTCTATTTATGTCAAATTATTGCTATCAAATGTTTTCTATTTATGTCAAATTATTGCTATCAAATATTTTCTATTTATATCAAATTTTTACTATCAAATATTTTCTATTTATATCAAAAGTTTACTATCAAATATTTTCTATTTATATCAAATTATGTCAAATTATTGCTATCAAATATTTTCTATTTATGTCAAATTATTGCTATCAAATGTTTTCTATTTATGTCAAATTGTGTCAAATTTTTACTATCAAATATTTTCTATTTATATCAAATTATTGCTATCAAATATTTTCTATTTATGTCAAATTATTGCTATCAAATATTTTCCATTTATGTCAAATTATTGCTATCAAATGTTTTCTATTTATGTCAAACTGTCAAATTTTTCCTATCAAATATTTTATATTTATATCAAATTGTGTCAAATCATAACTATCAAATATTTACTCTTTATATACTCACAAAATACTTAAAAAAAAATACAGAGTGTTTCTTAAATGCACGTCAATACTTCAGGAGGCAAACTTACGCACCAAAAGGAATAAAAAAATGTCCTATAAACATATGTCCGATACACCTTAATTAAAGAAAATGTTCGAAGCAAAATTGCACGTCGTAGCACTGAGTTCAGCACTCGCTGGGAAATACCAGTCTTCCTCGAATAGTCTCAAACGCATGTTGCACCCTTTCTTGCAGATCTTGCACATTATTCACTTCCGTTGCGCACACAATTTTCAGAACACTAGCGAACTCGCGAGAATAAGGCACCGACTGTCCGACATTTTGTCTTCTTCACGTCGACGGAAATCAGTTGTAAACATTAACTAAGGTCGAGACGTACCAAGGCGTCCAATAGCGTGTGTCGAGGCACGAGGCGGGCGCTTCGAACATTTTCCATATCCATCCATGACTCGAAAACTAAGGTACATCGAGCATAATATCTTCGTATACCAATTTTTATTTCCTCTGGTGTGCAGATTTGCCCCCAGAAGTATTACCGCGCATTTAATAAACACACTCTGTACACAAAGGCCCCAAAAAACATTATCAACAAGAAAAGAAAATTGTTCAAAACGAACAAAAATATGAACAGTTCGAAAGAAAGTCTCCAAAAATGAAAAAAAAAGAAAATAGGTACACAATTGAAAGGCAGTACATGCTACCACGACCAACAAAAAAGCTCCGCAGAAACGCAGTATCAATCTCGAAAAGTCAAAGGAACAAAAAGAAAAAGTACGGAAAAAAGGCACCCCAAAGTAAGATTAAAAAAAAAAAAGAGAAAAAAAAATACAATTCAGCCGGAAACAAATGAATCCACGTGTCGCAGTGGCCTTTCTCTCCTCTAGCCATACACGCAACAGATACCCCCCATGCGACGTAATATACAGGGAGCTTGCACCCCTCCCCCCACCTCCTCTCGCTCTTTCTCCTTCTGCTTTCGCCGTTTTCTCGTTAACAATCGCACATGCTGGGACCAGCTGACGCGTGCCAGCAACAGGAAATGAAACGGCGCACCGGTTCCGTGTGATTCACGAACTCAAATATTCATGGCGGGACCGAACGAACGAGCGAAGGGGAGGGGAGTGGGGAGGAGAAGGGAGGGGAGAGAGAGGGAAGTGTACCGGCTGGCACACGGTTGCGCCACTGGGGGGAGGGGAAAAAAAAGAAGGAAAGCGTCGCGTTATCGGCGCCCTTTAATTTTCGACGCCACACCGCACTCGCTATCGCGAGGCGGTCTCTTCTTCGTTTCCAGACGAGAAAATTCATCCAAGGGGGGAGGGGATAATTAAAGGCCTGCCATTTCGCGGCCGTTATATATGTACATATATATATATATATCGTATCTGTCGATCTTCGAACCGCGACCCTGTGAATCGGAAAAACCTCGGTGGCGTTTAATTTTGAAACGCCGTGACGTTTCCGATAATCGTTTTCCTCTACGAATGTAGTAGTTTTTTTTTTTTTTTCTTTTAGCGGATGGAATGGGAGAAATTTCTTGTCGATCGTGGAAGTGTAGGGTACACTTCTGTGCATGAGTTACTGAATATTTGGTACTTTTGAAGATTCGGTTTTTTGATGAGATGTTGGGGAAATATGATAATTTAGCTTTGCTTGTGATGTGAGTATTGTTAGGAAGTGTTAGTTCCATTTTGTAAATACAAAGTAGATTTATGGGGGGAAATTTATGGATAAGAGTGTACGTCGAATGGAACTTGGGTTCATTTAGAAATTTGGAAGAGTGTTTAAATGGTAGTTGTAATATTTTTAATATAGGGTAGTTGAAATGTAGGGTGTTATCACTTATTTGGAAGTATAGTTGGTGGAAGAAATATAGGAAAATGTCAAAGGTGTTTACATGTTGCATATTTCTTCAAAAATATTTTTTTTTCCTTTTTTAAACAGACTTCGGTCTGTAAGTTGTTGCAGAAGGGGTGACTAGAGTTGCCGAGAGTAAAACGTCAGTCCTTACACTTTGAGAAAAATATGATAAACATTAGTATACATGATTATCTGCTAGCTAATGGCTACATAAATACTATTTCTTCCAAAATATTTCTTCCACCGACTATACGCTTTATACTACGAGATCCCAGATCACTGAATGATAACTCATTAGTCATTTCTTTTAAGATCTTAATAATCGAAGGGTTCCATTTTGTCTTGACAGAGTCGTCGCTTGTTCACCATCGTTGCCAGCACATTCTTGGAATGTTGTTTTTGCAAAAGAACAGAAAAGGAAACGTATACACGCGTAAATTCTCCACACAAGTGTTCACATTTCTGCGAAACACACTGTGTGCAAGGTATAGGACATTTCCTGCGGTGCAGCAACGGTTCAAAGTGGATTTCAGGTTAAACGAGGGGGTTTTATACGATTGTAGCTGTAAAGGGATGAAAACGGGTTCGTTGAACTCCACCCTCGAAACGTGAATTCGCGTGACGATCGCACGAATTTCGAGACGCGAAACCTTCAATTTGCATTATTCATTAGCAGTCCCTAATCAGCTTCGTATCCCCCCCATTAAGTCTGATTGAGCGTATATCCCTCATTAATTAATATTCCGTGTTAATTTTAGCCCCGACAGAGGCTCAGCCAATTCGTTAACTGTATCAACACGCCAAAATTGATAATTTCAATCGATAATCCGTTATCGATAATTTACTACGCGATAATCCTTTACGATCCGAATAGAGGAATGTAAACGAACCGAGTACAGTTGTTTCTCTCGAGAGAATTCCGCAAGACAGGGAGGGGGGAGGGGGGTTGTGGACGTTCCGCATAAACGATAGAAATTCACGAGATACCGGAAGAAAAATGAAAGAGAGACCAACACGGGAGAGATTTCAATCAGAAACTTTCCTCAGACAAGAATAGTTGCTCACGAGGATTAGCCCAGCAGGGATCCGATTCCAGAACCCATTTCTCAGACCACTGCTTCCTCGACCAATTTACTCGGACTGTACCTAAGACTACCTTCCCCAATTCTAACATCAAATTGCTTCTGCTGTACAGGAGTAGAACATGGTTAATGGTAGAAACCACTGAATCTCTCTGCGTATAACTCTCCTCAAAGCCCTTCATTGTATCAATCGGTGGAATTAAGTTGATTAATTTAAAGCTCCGTCAAGTCTGTCGCCAAACTACCCTATCTATCGAGACGTCTCACATTCACGGAACATACTTCGAAGTCTGTCCTTAATAGTCGAGCTGTCGTTAAACAGACGAGGTGTCCCACTTATAACGAACATCTAAATTATTTCGCTGGTATTGAAAATAAGGAAAAATAACTAAGGTTTCAAGATATGCATGTGATTATTATAAAAATTCACCCCCTAAAGTTCTCTCGAACGAAGGTCATTGGAATGACATTTGTTTTTTGGTTTTTTGATTTTAATGCGTAACGTGGGTGAGTGATGGTAAATTTTCCACCACCGGGGCAAAGTTTCTTATTTCGTTAAATTAAGGTAAAAGTGCTTGAAGGATAAAATTAAGTATTAAAATAAGGCGCAACTGTGTCAAAAGGCTCCACAATAGTATAGCGCGAGGAAATTTTCAAAACGCCTATAGGCGCCAATAGTAATCAAAGGGTTAAGGTCACTTCAAGCTCAAAATGTCAGTTACAAAGTCACATTACAAAAAAACCAACATTAGTATATAAAAACATATCTATGACCTTGAAATGACTTTCAAGATGTCCTTGGAAACAACGTGTTCCTATTGAACCACTCGATACACAAGTCCCATTGATAGGCTTCGAAGAGAAATCCACGCGACCTAGCAATATATTCGGTTCAGACTATAATCGAGGCAATCTACCCTTGAATCCGCAGGCTACACGCACGAGTCGTGGATCAACCACGAAGAACCGCCAAAATATGCTACGCTACGTTCGGCGGCGGAGCTGGCCCGGCCTGTGGTCCCATCCCCGCCGCCTCCAGCCGCCCCTCAGGAGCTTGCCGTTGTGGTTACCGGGTCCAGCCTGCACCAACCACACCCAGCGACAGCCCCGAACTCCACCAACCCTTCTTCGTCGTCGACGTCGTCGTCACTAAACCTGCCGCCCCGCAAAAGCCTCTCTATGTGCTTCACAAGCACGGGAACGGCTCTGTCGTTGCCCCCAAAGAAGAAGGACATCTATCGGCCCTACAGCCTCCAGCCAACGTCGGAGATCCGCACGTCGGCCGAGGAGGACCTGTCCGCCGCGCAGGCGATCCTCGACCTGAGCGCGTCCCCGGCTGCGCCCACGCACTCGGTCTTCATTCACACACTCTCGCCACCGCCTCCGCCGCCTCCACCGCCGCCGCCGCCTCCAACGACCGGTGTCGTCGCGGCCACCGGCCAGCTGCAGCCGACACAGCTGCAGCCGGCGCCGAACACTCAGCCCATCCCCGTTTCCGTGCTCGTGCCGGTGCCCAGCTCCCAGAACGGACAGCTGCGACAGCAGGAGCAAACGCCACAGCCACAGTCCCCAGCCACAGCCGAGGCGAACGCGAGCAACTGCACCAACGCCAGAGATGGGTGAGTACACAGGCTTACACCGTGTGAACTTAAGAGTGCGATTGGTAATTTTGTGATTTGCTCGAGTGGAATTGTGTGTGTGTGTGGCTTGTTTTGGGGGTCTGTGTGTGAAGGTATAGTCGATGGAAGAGATATGGAGAGGTGGAATGGTTAGGTTAGTTTTTATTGTGCAACATTTCAAGAGGAATCTGGGAATATTGAGAGTCTGAAAATCGCGAGTTAGAAACCTATAATTGGAGCTTTCTTTTACCTAGATTCCTATAGTATAGTTTGCAGAAGAAATATTGAAAGAAGGAAGGTGAGGTTAGGAAGTAAAACTTTCAGTCAGAGTCATGAAAAGTGTGTCTTAGGGTAGGTTCTATCGTGCAAAATTTCAAGTGGAATCTGGGAATATTGATTGAGAAAATCGCGAGTTGGAAACCTATAATTGGAGCTTCCTTTTCCCTAGATTCCTACGGTATAGTTTGTTGAAGAAATACAGAGAGGCGGAGTATAAAGTTCTCAGTTTGTCTTGAGCTAGTTTATGGAGGATTGGAAAGTACTTTAGCACAGTTCAAATGGAATCTAAAAATATAATGTGAAGATTGGTAAAAGCCAGAGTATGACACACGACTCGGAGAATCGCAAAGTACGAGTTCCATCGCCTGGGGCTTCCTTTTCCCTGGATTCTTACGGTATTGTCGGGTGGAGGAAGCGCAGGGAGGTAAAGTGGATTAAGAGTTAGGGTGAAAGTGTTTCGAGGTGTATGTTAAAGCACGAAACATCGGTATAACTTAGTCTTGTTTTAGACAGAAATGCATCGTAACTTATAGAGACTTTCACACCTGTGGAAAAGTGAGATCACAGTGGTTACAGGTGGTTAGGTATAGTAACTACCTCGAGCACAAAAATGTCGCTACTCCTAGCCACTTGTTAGCTTTCCATCTGACAAGAGTAACAGGTGAAGTGTAACTATCGGATTTTAACGAAACTTTGCCAATTGATAAATAATTCAACGACGTACAACTATGTTTAATTATAGGTGTAGATATTCGGTAATTTACGAGGTATTTAATAATAAAGTTTAGGTAAGTTTACGTTTAATTTACGACCTCGTCATGTTTCTTCCATCGACTGTACCCGAGTTGCTACAGTCAGAGAGGATGAATGCACTATTCTGGATGGACGGACGATTGTGCAAGTCGATGTCGTAATTGCTTCTATATATACGGTTGCTCGTTGGGTGTCACGTTGCCTGGAGGGTATTGTTCTAATGGGCGGATTGTATTTGATTGATCTGAATAGGTGTTGTGTACTTTATCAGCCTGTGTATATCTGGTTTGTGAATCTGTCGCATGGTATGGCGTACTGCTCGAATATTACTCGTAGTCTGATAATATATCGAATATATGAAATAAATGAACACACGAATCCTGAAGTTTCCAAATTCTCTGATCCAAACATATTCACATTCCAAAACCCAAAATCCCTAGATCTAAGTACACTTACGTTCCACTCAAAAATCCTCAGAGCCAAGCACACTAACATTCTAAACCTAAAATCCTCAGATCCAAGCACACTCACATTCTACAAAAAATCCCTAGACCCAAGTACACTCAAACTGTAATCCCAAAATCCTCAGAACCAAGCACACTAACATTCTAATTCCAAAATCCTCAAAACCAAGCACATTAACATTCTAAACCGAAAATCCCTAAATCCAAGCACACTCGCATTCTACCCAAAGTCCCTAGACCCAAGTGCACTCAAACTGTAATCCCAAAATCCTCAGAACCAAGCACACTCACATCGTAACCCCAAAGTCCCTAAATCCAAGCACACTCACATTCTACCCAAAGTCCCTAGACCCAAGTGCACTCAAACTGTAATCCCAAAATTCTCAGAACCAAGCACACTAACATTCTAATTCCAAAATCCTCAGAACCAAGCACACTAACATTCTACACACTTATTACGTTCCACCCAAAAATCCTCAGAGCCAAGCACACTAACATTCTAAACCCAAAATCCCTAAATCCAAGCACACGCGCATTCTACCCAAAGTCTCTAGACCCAAGTGCACTCAAACTGTAATCCCAAAATCTTCAGAACCAAGCACACTAACATTCTAATTCCAAAATCCTCAGAACCAAGCACACTAACATTCTAAACCCAAAATCCCTAAATCCAAGCACACGCGCATTCTACCCAAAGTCCCTAGACCCAAGTGCACTCAAACTATAATCCCAAAATCCTCGAAACCAAGCACACTCACATCATAACCCCAAAGTCCCTAGATCCAAGCACATTCACATTCTCCCTCAAACCTCAAAACCTAACCTACCCTACCCTACGCAAAAATATAAGAAAAAAAAACCTTCGCCAAGAGATCCAAAAACAGAAAAAGAAAATTCCGCCAATCAATTTGGATATTCTCCCTCCTGTATAGCAGCAGCGGGAGCAGCAAAACGGTCGCGTACACGTACGAGGCGTTCTTCGTGTCAGACGGTCGGTCGAAGCGTCGCAGCACGAGCACGAATGGCGCCGCGGTGCCTGACAAGGAGGCAGCACAGCCGGACAGGCCCAAGTTCACGTGCACGGAGTGCGGCAAGCAGTACGCAACATCGTCGAATTTGTCGCGGCACAAGCAGACACACCGTAGCCTCGACTCGCAGTCCGCGAAAAAGTGTATCCACTGTGGCAAAGCTTACGTGAGCATGCCAGCTTTAGCGATGCACGTGCTCACGCACAAGCTCGCGCACAGTTGCGGTGTCTGCGGCAAGATGTTCTCCAGGCCTTGGCTACTCCAAGGCCATCTGAGAAGTCACACCGGCGAGAAGCCGTACGGCTGCGCGCATTGCGGCAAAGCGTTCGCCGATCGCTCGAATCTGCGCGCCCACATGCAAACACACTCCGCGGACAAGAACTACGAGTGCTCGAGATGTCACAAAACTTTCGCCCTGAAATCCTACCTGAACAAACACCTGGAATCCGCTTGCCTACGGGACGACGAGATACCGCAACAACAACAGCCAACAGCGGCGGCGGCAGCAGCAGCGCAGGGTGTGACGAGCGCGAGTAACGCGACGCAACATCAACAGAGCAACAATCGTGGTTTGTAGCAGCGCTTCGACGAGAGAAAAACGACGACCAGGCGTCTGGACGCCCTCGCGAGCGCTGCCAGAGAGAGCTAGCGGTCGTTACTTGCGATGCCCGGTTAACAAATATATCCGGGACACGTGGATAAGCGACGCGAGAGGGGCGGGGTTTAACGAAACAAAGAAACAAAACAAAAAAAAAAAAAACAAAAAGTAATAAGGTTTGCCGTAGGTTTTAAGTAGAAAAGTGCCAGTAGAGAAACAAACGAACGTGGGAGAGGTTTAGACGACGAAGTTGAACCGAGTGGTAGGACGAGGTAGAGAGAAAGAAAGAAAATGAGAAAAAGAGAGATGACGGAGTGTGAGAGGAGCAATAGTAGTAGGCGTCGGTTTCTTAAATAATGTCTAACATTAATAAAAACGTCCAATAATGTTAAGTATTAAAGCAAAAAAAGAGAAAAAAGCGAAGAAAATAATGGAAGAATCGAGAGCAGAGAGGAACGATGAGAAAGTTTGATGAAGAAAAGAGAGAGACGGAGAGGCAAGGAAAGAAAAAAAAAGAAAAGAGGAAGAAGAAAAGCGTTTAAAGAGGGAACGAGAACTAAGAACACGTCGAACGGTGACGTCCACACTGCAGTCTAGTCACTCTAGTCGATTATACCTAATATATTAAGTCGCGAGCTCGTTACGGAGACACACTATTTATTGATACTTAGCTGCCTAAAGGGAGTAAGAAACGAGGAAAAGATAAAATCTTCGTGGATTCGAAAGATACCATATTACACCACACTTGTACACACAAAATAGAGAGAAGAAGAAAATGAACGAAAGGGGGAAACATCGTTTGAAAAGAAAAAAAAAAAAAAAAAAGAAAAAAAAACGACGATTTAGGTAAGAACGACGATGAATTTCGAGAACGAGATTTTTCTCTATTCTCCCCCCAACCCCCCTAAACCCTGACCCCCTTTTGAATCATGTAGCGTCCCGACGCTAACCTCGTGGAAATCGAATCGTGTCCAGAGATCGATAACCTCGCTCGTTGGAAACGCACAGTTCGTCACCGAATCTCACCTCTTCCTCCGATTTTACCTCAACCGGAAGTCCTCGAGCACGCGAGATTATCGAGACCTCTCTCCCATGTTCCTTTTCGATGGCTCCTTCGACCGTTGGACCACACAAAATACACTCGACTGTTCAGGTCGATTCACAAACCGACGATAATCTCAGTGGATAAGGCGACGACCACGGTGAGAATCTGTGCGTTTCTTTCGATCGCGAGTGAAAATCGCTGCACGTATCAGATTCGTATAATGCGTTTACTTTTGTTCTTTTAGGGTACTTTTGGGGAGTATTTGTACGAGGATCTTTCGGCGGGTCGATCGAGGAACAGTATTAAAGAGGTTCGATGGGGGAGGAAGGAACGTTCGATTGGTATTTTAACTGGGCAAGATGAGTGGACTTGTCTGTCGAGGGGAGTATAATTATAGTTAAGGTTTTCCATTCTTTGTTGGTTTCATAAAAGTTAGTACAAAGCTCAACAACTAAGAGGAAAATTCCTTACTACATAGGTAATTCGATAAGGCAATAGATTAAGAACGTTTCCTTTCTTCGCTGTCTTCAGCGGGAGTGTTTGAACGCGTTCTATGTCATCGTGAAATTTTACGTAATTTTTCATTTTTCTCGCGAATAAATTTTTTGGTGTCACACTTCGGACGAGATATCTCGCGTCTCTGTTTTTTAATTTTGTTTTGGGGTGAGAAGTTTTGTTTCTTAAGTGTAACATATTCTGCGTGTAGCATTCTTAACCCTTTCGAATCCGCGGACAAGATGTGTCGTTCGAAGCGTGAAATGAACGACGCGAGATATCTCGTCCGAAAATTGGATCGAGTAAAAATTTACTCCGGGAGATATTTCGTCCAAAAATTGAAACGGGTAAAAATCAGTTCGTGAGATATCTCATTCAAAGAGCCGAACGATCAGAAATCAATTCAGGAGATACCTCGCCTAAAAATTGAAACGAATAAAAATCTGATCGGGAGATATTTCATTCAAAAAATAGAAATGACTAAAAATTTTCCGCGAGATATTTCCTCGACAAAAATAGAAATGGCAAAATTTTCCGCGAGATATCTCGTCCAAAAATTCGCGAGATATCTCGCCTAAAAATTGAAATGAATAAAAATTTTTTCCGCGAGATATCTCGTCCAAAAATTCGCGAGATATCTCGCCTAAAAATTGAAATGAATAAAAATTTTTTTCGCGAGATATCTCGTACAGAAATTCGCGAAATATCTTGTCCAAAAATTCGCGAAATATCTCGCCTAAAAATTGAAATGAATAAAAATTTTTTCCGCGAGATATCTCGTACAGAAATTCGCGAAATATCTTGTCCAAAAATTCGCGAAATATCTCGCCTAAAAATTGAAATGAATAAAAATTTTTTCCGCGAGATATCTCGTCCAAAATTTCGCGAGATATCTCGTCCAAAGATTGAAAAGAATAAAAATCTGATCGCGAGATATTTCATCCAAAAAGCAGAAATGACTAAAAATTCGCGAGATATCTCGTCGACAGATGTGAAAGGGCGAACCACCCAACTCCATCAATCTTTCCGTCGTTATTTCCTCCTCCGAGGAAGAAGAAAAGAACACTGACGTTCCCGTAACAAAAAAGAAAAAAAAAAAAGAAATTCATCGATAACCATGCATGGCATAGAACGTGTTAACGACACGTGGACATCGATCGACTCGCCCCCAGGTCATTGTGTTTGCAATATTTCCATCGTGTTCACAGTTTCCTTCGTTATACGATCGGCTATGTGCAAGCTTGATTGAAGAAAAAAAAAAAACAAATTCCAAACAGCGTTTATATATACATACATATATATACACATATATATACACACGTAGGAGAAACACGAATATACACATAGCCACATGTACACACACGTACAACAATTACACAAAAAAACACACACACACACACACACAAGCGCGTGTACACGTAATATTTAGAGCAGATTCGAGTAATAGATGCGTAACATTGTTATACACATATTTTGTAGAAGCAATATAACGTGTAAGGGAAAAAAAAGTAATAATGACGACGCTGTACGGTCAAAAAAGCAATGTTTCGACACAACGAATTATATAATTATACATAATAGAGGCGAACATCGAAGTTTAACGTGATGGAATAATGAAAAAAAAAAAAAGAAAAAAAAAACGATGATTTGCTTCGTCATCGAACTTCTTCGATCGTCCAATCACCACGCTCCTCTTAACTCTTGCGGTGTTGATTCAAAAAGCGAAATTGGCGCCAAAAAGGTCAGCCCGGATTTCGTCGCTAGAAGACTGAGAAAAATCGTTTCTCCCACTTTGAACGAAAAGCAATGTTTTTTACACTATTTTAAGAAATAAGTCGCTCCTGTTTTGTAGAATTTCAACGTTTAAACAATGATCGAACATTTAAATCACGGCTCGATGGTGGGAGCAGTCGAGCTTGGATCAGTGGCTTCGACAAAAGAGGAATCTACTTTCGAGAGAGAGAGAAAGAAGAAAAATAAAAAAGCTTCGTTAGCTTGTATCTTTTCAAGAGACACACCAGTCGTGAGTTTCGTGCAACGAGTGGAACACCAATCTAGTCCTGTAATATATTCCTTTTTAAATATTATATTTTATATAACGAACAACGACACTTTTGCTCCGAAGGAAACGAGAAAAAAAAAAAAAAAACGTAGCTTTAGTAGACTGTAAAAAATTCTGATTCGTAAGCGATGCAACGATTTGTCCGTGTAAGAATTCCTGTAAAATTATAGATACAATTTTAATACTCGTCGAGATTAATATCGAGAAAAAGTGATCTTTTAAAATGAAGAGAAAATCTTTGTAGAGGAGAGAAATAAAAATATTTCGAGACAACGAAAAGTGGAGAGAGAGAGAGAGAGAGAGAGAGAGAGATGAGAGAGATGAGAGAGAGAGAGGACGAAATCCGGCTGAAAAATCCGACCTCCACTCCGACCAACTTTTCCTCGAAAGCAACGATTACAGCGCGCCGAATTATCCCCGGGAGAATGGCGAGAAGCAAGGAGAAAGCAAAGGGAAAAGTGTGCACAAAGGAGAGAGCAACGAAAAAAAAAAAGAAAGAAAGAGGAAAAAGAAAACAAGTGAAAAAGAAAGAAGTTAGAAATACAAGCGAAATACGATCGCGAGAGAACAAAGAGGAGCGTGGATCAGTGCCAGCACTCGGGAAGAGCGCTGGCGCGACGATCCAACGAGAGTCCTTTTGTAATAATTATTGCCGACAAATAATTACCGCGTTGCATGTACAGAGTAGCCGACCTCACCGCCAAAAAACGCAAAAAAACACGCCGACGTGGCAAAAAAATATATATATACGTATATTGCGAGAAGAAGAAAAAATACAGAGAAACGAAGCACAGGAGAAAACAGAGGCGACATACACACAAGTACACACACACTCACACACAGTTACATATATATATAGACATATTAGATACACGTACACAAGTCTCTCGTAATCGTACTTTCTTTTACGCTCGTAGCGTTCGTTTCGATCCAATGTTGGATCTTCGAGAGAAAAAATTTTCCAGGATCCTGGATCATATCGATCGATGATCCAGCGCGGATCGAATCGACGAGAAATCGTTTCTAAAAGCTTTTCTAGTCTCGTATTCCTTTTGATCGGTATTGGATCTTCGAAAAAAGAAATTTTCCAGAATTCTGGATCATTTCGATCGATGATCCAGCGTAGATCGAATCGACGAGAAATCGTTTCTAAAAGCTTTTCTAGTCTCGTGTTCCTTTTGATCGATATTGGATCTTCGAGAAAAGAAATTTTCCAGAATTCTGGATCGTTTCGATCGATGATCCAGCGTAGATCGAATCGACGAGAAATCGTTTCTAAAAGCTTTCCTAGTCTCGTGTTCCTTTTGATCGATATTGGATCTTCGAGAAAAGAAATTTTCCAGAATTCTGGATCATTTCGATCGATGATCCAGCATAGATCGAATCGACGAGAAATCGTTTACTAAAGGCTTTTCTAGTCCCACACACCCCCCGTGATCCGAAGAAAAGAAAGAGAGAGAGAAAAAAAAGGAAACTATGGTGACGTTTGTTTCTCGCGAGTTTTCTCCCGACGCTGTGTGCCGCAATTGAGAACGATCGCGGTCGTGCGATCGTCGCGTGTACGTAAATACGAACGTAGAGCAATAAAACCCTAAGCAATACTAATGAATTAATTAAACGTGGTTAATTAGCGCGTGGAGAGGAGAAAAAAAATACCGTTTATAAGGGATCGTGTTAGTAAGTCGGTTCGGGTAGAGAGGCAGAAACATTTTAACGAATAGAAAACTAAAGCATAAAGAAAAGAAAAAAAAACGACGAAGAACCAAAAAATAAAACCAAAAACAAAAAAAAGAAGATACGAGAAATATTTTACAATAAACGAAGTGCACCGTTTGACCGTGTGTGTTTGTTGATTTGGTCGATCGAAAACGTGGCCGTGTACGCAC